CATAGAGAAACATTAACCTAATTCACAAGAATTTCAATTGCTTCGATTCGAAAATAAAACTACATATAATGTACGTAAATAAATATTCGAAACCTCTCCCTGGCCACCATGATGGAAACCTGTATCCTACCACCCCGCAGAAAAACGAGGATCCGATGGAAAAAGGTGGAAAAGCAGCTGGATGGAGAGAGCGCTGGATAATCAGCGCGTTGTTCCACGCCAGAGAGAAAGAAGAAGAAGAAGAAGAAGAAGCATGGAAGAAAGCATGGCAGCGAGAAAGAGGGACTGAGAGAGGTCGGTTACGACGTCAGCAGCAGGGGTTGCCGAAAGAGAGAACGATACCGGAGGGAGGAGAGGAGAGGAGAGTGCACGGTGCACGAGCTCTCTCTCTCTCTCTCTCTCTCTCTCCTGTCTTCTCCGCTTCGATCATTAATCACATTCTCGTGTCACGGCTAGCACCGCGCCGCCAGGGGTAAGGGACTGTACCACGCCAGTGGTATGAGACTACTAAAGGGAGGACGCTGCCGGCCGCCCTCTCCTCTCCCCTCCTCCCCGATCATCGTCACGAGCAACCGTGGATGTATTATATGCCCTTCCTTCCTTCCTTTCTTTCTTTCTTTTCGATGATGCCCCCCCATCTCGAGGAAAAGTCGCCAAAAGGGTGTGAAAGTTGGTGGCGGCCACTCTGCTCCAAACGGAGAAGTAAGTAACTTCCTTCCACGATCTTTCTTTCGAATTAGTTTTACTCTTAACAAGAGTGCAACGATATGCGGCGTGCTGCTTACTCTTCCAGCTTGGGAGATCTGGTGGCGAAGCTATTGAAACTGATTCGTGCACGAATTTAAATTTGGAAATTTCGAAAATGTTGGAGGATCGTTTCAAGTGGAGAATGTGAACTAGAAGAAATTGCAATTTTCTCTGGGTTTGGAGACGCTGTTTTGACGCGGTCAGAGTCGAGTCGAGGAGGAGTAGAGGGCGAAGCAAGCGAGGTTTATTATCTGTTTAAGAAAACGGTTGGATGGATACTCGTGTTTCCCTATCTTGATCCTCCTTAGACAGCTTCCCGTTTATAACGGTATCCCCTCGAATCGATATTATCGCTTTGCGTTACTTGTTTCATAGAGGCAACTTTAGAATTTTCATTTTCGAGATGATTCGTTGGTAAATTTGAAGAAAAAACGAGATAATTTTTAGGAAACTGTACTACTTTTTATTATAATTTATTATTTCTTTCTACAAACAAATAACGTAAAGGGAAAAATTGCCAACCAAAGTTACAGTAAATATTATTATTGCCTGGTTCTCCATGTATCGTAACATAAGATAGCTTAAAAAGTTAATCCATTATTGCACGTCGCTTAAACAAAATTAATTTTTGTATAGTTTTGCAAATCAAACAAAGTTTCTACGAACAATCATTGAGAAGTCATCGCATTTTTCCAACTTTAAGCTCAATTTACAAGGAAAACTTTCGATAACTTTCTCAATCATTGAAACCAGTTATACTCTTTCCAAACTAAACATCCAATTTTCCAGGATTCAACCACTTCCTCGCGCGACAAGGCGCGCCTCTCAGAGATAAAATCTGCCTCTTCGTGCGCTTCGAACTTGCAGGTATCCAGGAAGTTCTCTCTCTCTCTCTTTCTCGACGTGGCTCGATAGCCACGTAAGATATTGTTCTCTCGATGAAATTAATAGTGGTCGTAATCCAGCCAGGCCGCGTGGCATTAATCCTCGCGGTATTAGCGACACCTCGAGCACGAGCTGCAACGACGACGACAAGGAGGAGGAGGAGAGCGGCTCTCGAGAGAAGCGGAAGCGAAGGAAAGGAGGAAGAAAGAAGGAAACAAAAGGGAGGAGGGGAGGGTTGGTTAGGAAGGAGAGCTCCTCGGCTTGTCCACGGGAGGAAGGAAGATTTGTGCGGGTGTGTTCCTGTCGCACACCACCACCCCTTTCCTGCTGCACGGATCTCAAATGAATGGTTATCGCGGATTACCTCCCCCCCTCCTCCGGATGCTGACACGTCATAATGGCCGGGGGATTCGCCTTGAAAACGGTGGCGCGTTCATTGGAGAACGATATTTCTTCATCTGTCGGTCATTATCGGCCGATTAATGCCCGGCGACGTTGCAATATTCGGGATATTCTTCCTCGTGGAAAACCGAAGCTGGATTGATTTGGGAGGGATTTGGGCGAGCGAGTATATAAATCCTTTGTAAATTTCCGTATTCGTGAAGGGGATTTTTTTTCTTCGACGTAAAATAAGGAACGTTAAAAATAATCGAGTAATACGTAATATATTTCGAGTACGTAACCGTCGCGTAGCGTATCGCGTACGCGGATCAACAGTTATTACGACGCGATACGACGATTGGAAGTGGCAGTGGAACGCGTCCCCTATATATATTTGCAGACGCGTGCGCGTGGTCGAACTGGGGGAGGGGGGAGAGAGAGGAGAAAGTCTGGAGGCTAACTCGGTCGGTGATGGAGATATGCCTGTAAACGTTTTTTTTTTCTGCCGCGCTAGTACAAAGGTTAACGCGCAACCCGGCAGTACCAGGAGAACGGCAGGGATCACGACAGCTGATGGGGACACGGCTCGAGGGAGGACGATCAATAATATAATAGCCCGTCGCCCCGGGTACCACCATGCTATCGTGCAATCGAGACCTGGCCACCGGCTTTCGTGCTCCTCGATCTCGTGTACGCTTATCGCGTACGTCTTTTTCGACTGTATTTTTTCCTTCCCCCCCTTCTTTTACAGGGCAGATAGCGTGAACGACGCTCCTCACCGATCGACGCCCCCTCTACTTTGAAGAAGAAACTGGTGTTTCGAGAATGGAAGTGTTGTTGTTGTTTCGAGGATAATGACAACGTCGTGTTGTTGGGGAAAAGGTTAGAGTTTTTTACGATTCTTTTTTTATTTTTCTTTTTATTTGGAAATTGAGAGATGGTGTCGCGGTGAGTGGATAAATCGATGGATTGGAATCCAGAAGAAAGTGATGGTAAGTTTTGGGAAGTGACGTTGTTCTCGTTGAACGAGAAGGAGGAGAAGGTTTCGTTGAATATAGATGGGGTATGCGTGCGGTGCGGTGAAATTGCACAAGTTGGTAAGTTGCGGTTTGCTGTTGATGTTGTAGGTAGGGATGGCCGTCTATTTCGAATTGTGCTACCATCTAGCGGTGTCGTGTATTAACGAAGAGCATTTCGAGTATTTTTATCCGGCACGCGATGAATTTGGAATTTACGATACGAATGTAGGATAAGCGGTATTCGAAATTAATTGAAATTCTCTTCTGTGATTTTAATCTAGCTCGCGTTGCAAGTTTATTATTCGATTCCATCGGTGAGTAATATAGGGATTTACTATTGTCTCGTGGCTCGGATAGATTTCTTCCTTACCATTATTCGACAATACAGAGATTCAATTTCTTTAACTCGATAGGAACACGAATAGGAATAAATTAAAATTATTTTTTATAAAATAATTTCAACATTGTTCAATTCTTTCGATAATCGAGGAAACATAAATAATAATACGTTCGAACGGATCGAAACATATATAATGCTATTTTAAATGCTCTTTGTTCGTTAAATTTCATTAGGAAGGTAAATGAATTAAACTAGGATAACTTTTAAGGATAACATATTTATTTATTTATTTATATTACATTTGATTCCATATTGATCCATCTATTGATCCAAAATTATATTGTAAATCTAATTAACGATTAAATTACGAATCATATCTATCTCATCTAAACCTAACTTAAAAACAATTAAAACATTTTATAAAATCTATGAACGCTACGGCATATACATACTATCATCGTTAAATACATCGTTTATGATACGATATCTTGCGTGGCAATGTGTATGTACATCCGTGTACGTACTGTATCTAACGTCGAATAAACTATATAAAAAATGATGATTCTTCTTTAGAATTCTCTATGTATATTGCTTGCAGATAAAAAAGCCGATGAATGACTCGATTCTAAAGCTCTAAACGTCTTCTTATATGATCGTTTCGAAAAGCTTGAGAGAACGTCAGGATGATTTATACGAATGTGTCGCCATGCATTGCAATCTAGAGTCGCGTGGCATGTCATCCGTAAGATACCTGTAGAGACGAGCTTCTGATATTTACAATTCTACAAAAGCCCGGATCTACAGGGTAGATCACGAATGTGCCTATCTTATGCAACCACACTTTTTCGGCCATTGTGTCTCTTCTAGGTAGCGAGATCTGCAACACAGAAGCTCAGTTTTTTTTTCTTTTTTTTTAATTACAGCCAGTCTACAACTCGGTCTTAAATCCTATACAAAGAAAGAAATTGCATTCCTATTTACAAACGGCACATACTATTACTATTACTACTACTACTACTACTATTCTCTTCTCTCATTGTTAACTGCATTCCTATTTCTAGGATTTAAAACCGTTCCTCTCTTCCTTCACGAGACTTTTATTAAATGGACAGGCCGTCCATTTTCGGGCGTCGAAGCTACGAAGATCGAGGTTATGTTCGTTTCGATCGATCACACGCGTCCACGCATGTTTCCAATCGCTAAATTACACTTTGAAAATTTTACAGCGCATCGATCCGGTCATTAAATTACCATTCGATATGAACGACGGGAAGAATTATCCCCCGGGTTTGAATACGAATCGAGTGTAATGGCGTTGCAAGTGGATAGTAATCGAGAATTAATTGCGCGATGCCGATCGCAAAGCGATCAAGCGAGCAACGACACGTATGAATAACCGTACGAGCATGACTATATAAAGCCGGAGGGGATTAGAAATTTCGCCCCGGCCACCGAACCGTACGTGACGCCGGAAAACCTCCACTAAAATCGGACGTGATCCCGCATGCATATCCGGAATACGAGCCGAAGAAAGCCGTGAATTAATCGCTTCACGACATCGATTTCGTGATTTTTAATCGCCCGTTCCACGAACATATCGTTTTCACTCGACGAATTTACCATCGATTCTTCCGTCCACAGGTGTTTTAACCAACGTAATTTTTAACCTGTACGTCTCGTAAGCGTAATATCTTTTAAGAAAGCGGGAATTTTTTTTAATTTATTACTATTATTATTATTATTGGTATTTCATTTTTTCCATAAAAGTTGATCGTTAATAAAATGCGGAACAAAGTTGACGATTAGAGAAGAGAAATAGAGGGCCAATAATCGTGTTTCCTCTTCGATTAATTTCCAATGGTGCCAAATTTGAAAAAATT